CTGGAGCAACAGTGTGCGAACTCCATGAAGTATATTGTCGCGCTATTACACAAATATAGCCTTGTGATGTTGAGTGACGGTCACGCATATTCCTTTTCTTCCCCCTCCTTCCTTGTTCCTCTTTGTTTTTCTGTTCCCCTGATCTGTTTCTTTCCTTCTTCACCCGCCGCGGCGCCATCCCCCTCCCCCCCCCCCACCCACACACACCTATGCAGAGAGAGGCATGTGAGCAAGGCGCCTGCGCCTTTACTCTCACGTGTTTCCATCTGCCTCCGCGCGGCAACTCCCCTTCTCCGGCAGCGGCGGCAGATGCGTCTTCGTGGGGGGAAACCAGAGAAACCGCCGATACAGAAAGATAGGCCCCAACATGAGGCAGATGAGAACCACAACCAGTAACGGCACTGCCCACCACGCCATTTTGTGTGCCAACTCATTCGTCACAGCGTCTGGGATGTCCTAGGCAAGGAGGCTCTCGTGGGGAACCGTGGCAAAGCGGGCCCGCCACACTGTCCCCTCGGAAGGAGTGTACGGCAGCTCATAACTGTGCTGCGCCAGCGCCGAATGCAAATCCACCTCTGTGTCAAACGTAAACTTCACATACAGCGCTTGCACTGTCACAAGCCCCGTCCCACGTGCAGCAGGCGGCAGCAGCGTCGAGAAAAGCGACGCCTGGGTGTCGTTGCTGCGCAGCAGTAAGGCGTACCGCAGGAGCAGCTCGGAAGAGGCCGTGAGAGTTCCCGCCGCTTCTTCTTCCAAGCGCCTCCCCACACGCGCGTCTGCCAGCAAGGAGAGAGACAACGTGTAGGTGACGTGCTCCCCTGACGCCGTCACGTTTGTCACAAGCACGGAGGCTTCCACCACGGTACGGTTGGACAGCAACACCACAATGATCGCTGGATCAACCTGTAGCAACAGCGCCACCGCGCACTGGAACAGCACCAGCCATTTTGCGCTGCTCTCCAACCCCAACGCTGCTAGCCCCGCACCCCCACCCACACGCGGGCGGACGACGAGTTGGTGAACGACGTCCATGTCGCGGGTGTAGTATGAACCGCTCATATTTGGGTCCACGCGAAGCACCAGTGGGAGGCGACCGACGTTCTCCACAGGCGACGCCGCCGCACGGGGCGCCGCGGTTGTCAGAGAGGAGAGCGCTGCAGCATCGCCTGCCGCGCCCCACAGAGGAGCGTTGGCGCCGTAGAAGTGTACGCCGTCCACGGACGTGCAAAGCAGGTAGGTGACAGAGAGAGGCCCAAGACGCTCCTGTGCGGTAGATGCTCGCTTCAGCAACGCTACCGCACCCATGTTGCCCACCTTGCGGAGGGCCGCCGTGTTGTTTGGCCAATCCTTCCGCAGCACCGCGCCATCGTCGTCAGTTCCAACGCGGCTCGTGCCGTTGTTACTTCCGGCGGTGTCCCAGAGACAACCGTCGCATGCGTCGAGAATAAAGACGAGAAACACCGGCTATTTAAAAGGCCCCGTGTCTGCAGCCCGAATGTCAGAGGTCAGGTTGACGCCGCCACATACAGCCCCCGGCCGCTCCCCACAAAACACACACTTGCATGGTGGTAGTAACTCGGCGGCCGCCCCGCAAACCGAGAGACTTGCGGAGAGAACGAGCCCAAGTCGGAGGCCAGCGAAGCATCGCGGTCAAAAAGGCGCTCCAGGCGCAGTGCGGTTGCCGTCACACTGTTGAGGTTGTACATCTGTCCCTCGCGCTTCGCTGAGAGCCCAACGACTGTAGGCGGAAGGATTGTCAGCTGAAGGAACGGCGGCGCCTCCCCGGCAGGGTGGAAACCAACGCCCCCATTGACGCTGTAGCACACGCGGTACCGGGCAAGAGGGGCGACGGAGGCAAACTCCCGCGCCCTCAAACGAAGCGTAAACCCGCCACCTGACACCCACCGCCTCCACAACATGGGAAGTGCCCCACGGATGCCACGGCTTTTGGACGTCATCCGAAGCGCTTTGCACACATCGCCGTCGTCGTGCTCGTCCCCGCCCACAGGCACAAATGCAAGATGCACATCCTCAGCACACGGCACGACGTAGCCCTGCACGGTGAGCTCCGTTTCACTGCCGTGAAACACCGCCAACACCCCTCAACGCGGCCCCAAGAGCGCGTTCACAGCAGGCGTGGAGGTCACCTTCAGCTCTACAGACGTATCAAGGAAGACGGAGGCCTTCCCAAAGCGATAGGGCAAGTATTTCTTTACACACAATTTATACGTGCCATCCGGCACGTAACGTATAGACGTTGGAAGCTGCAGTGTCGTCGATGTTGGCGTAGCACCAACGCCTGCCCATTCACGTGGCTTCATAACGAAGACATCCATCGCATAGGCGTTGTTGACCTCTGGCGAGTCGCAGGAACGCACGCTGCTATTCACAACACGAACCGTCACGCCGGCCTGGACGCCACGTTCACACGCACCTGCAATGGGCAACAACCACCCCGTAGACTGCCGGTGCACTTGTTGAGTGGTTTCGGCGGCCTCGTCGACGCAGTGAAGCGACATGGGCTCCAGCTGCATCGTTAGCCCTGTGGGTATATCGCGCTGCTGGTAATTCACGGCGAAGAGCAACGCGTCACCACGCTGGTCGCCATCGATAGTTAACGCCGGAAGGTACAATTCCCCACCGCTCGCAAAACCGACGTTATGCAAGAAACCGCACCAGAGTGCGTCGGTAGTGAAGCCGTTCAAGTAGCGACTCAGCAGGGGGTCTTGGGAAGGAGACAGGTGCGCGTTGTAGCGCGTGTCAACCAGCCTTCCGAGGTGGCTCATCTGCTCGAACACATGCATAGCACTGAATAGCACTGACTGATTGCCTCCCGCTTCCTCTTCCGGCTCCTCTGGCAGCACTGAAAGCTGCACCCGGAGGGTTGGGGCCCAGGAGACGGCGATGTAGGAAATCCCAACGGACACATAGTGTCTTCCACCGTCAACAGAAAAGCATAGCGAGGAAGGTGAGGACGGCTCTACGCTCTCGTTCGCTGCGGTGTGTAACGGCACCGCAAAGCTCACCGCATCGCTACCGTCGTCCGTCACAATGCGTATATTGTTCTTGACAAATGTAGCGGTCAGTGCGGAGAGGGAGGCGGCTGTAGACACCGGCTGCTGTGGGTCTGGAACGCCGCACGGCTTACCAAGACGGAATCTCGCCAGACGAAACAGCGCCAGTGCCCCTGGGGCGTTGAGCATGCGTATGTACTGCTCCTCCACGCTGCATGGATCCGCCACGTCTGCGGAGTCGCGCGCATCCACCGCGGCTGATGCCTCAATGGTAGCGAGAAGCATCATGGGTGCACTGCCACGTCGAACGACAAGGTGGCGGATGCCGTTCTGTTCCGCCACCTCGTTCGGAGTAGGCCGATGCAGCGAAACGGAAGTCACCGTGACATTCAACACGTGAAAGAAAAAACCCGAAGGTCGGAATGCATGAAGTGGCGGTCCCCCCACATCTTCTTCCTTTTTTTTGCTACCGCTGCACCACCACCACCACCGCTGCCGTCCTCGTCCCTAGCCACGTCAACGCATATATGCAGCCGCCGCTTGGTGGCAACCCGGGTGTGAGCCTCCGCCAAGGTGAGGAGGCCGGGTGTGGTCACCACGATGACAGGCAGCCCCTCACGACTCTCGTGACACGCTGAGGAAAGCAACACGCGTGTCCCCACCCCAAACACACCGCCACGCTCCGTTCGGTGTTTCAAATTGTTGAGTGTATTATCATCATCGTTGGCCCGCAACTCGGCGTGACGCACCGCGCCTTTGCTCATCCGCGGGACAACAAGCGTGCGACGAAAGACAAGCTCAGCAATACGTGACTCATCCGCGGGCAAGTCGCGTCGCAAACGTGACGGGAAAACGGTCAAGAAAAGGTTCGTTCTGGCATACGACGCGCCCCCATTGGTGGAGAGGCACATTGGCGTCGACGCCTCCTGACGAGCAAAGTGCGCGGAGGGAAGTAGAAACACGCCGTGGTCGTCCTCAAGCGTGAGGGGCTGCTTGTAGAGCAGGGTATTGTTAAGCTCTTGTGTCGCCGCCACGTCGTCTTCGCAGTGGGCCCCGAAACGCAGCATAAAGCCACGCTGAATGCCGTAGCCGTTAAGGTAAAATATTTTGCTTGCGTCTTCCATGTAGAGAGTCAGTGTCTGGTTACCCTCCAGCCCGGTACGGTCCTCAGGCGGGTTCGTGTCACGCCGCGGCGCGCCGAAGAACGTCGCCGTCGTATTGCTTGCATCATCAGGGAAGTGACGAAACCAAACCGGAACCGCTGTCGTAAACTGCAGCTGCAGACGTGGATGACTGGCCTCTCGCCACCGCTCTGCCGCAGTCTCCAGGCACATGATCCAGGGCTGCGTGGCGTTCGGGTAGAAACTCACGTTACGGCTCACCGCACCTGGGATGACGAGAATGCTGTCGTCAATCACGTATGGACCGAGCACAGTGGCTGACTGGTTGGCCTCAAAGTCCACGAAGCACGGGTCCCTGTCGTCATCGAGCGGCCGGACGAACATGATACGTCTCCAGCTGCCACACGGCACCACCGCAGCCGCGTCCCTCGCTGCGCCTCCGCGGCACCAAAGCGCTACCGCCACCTCCCGTGCCACAGCACCCACAATGTTTGTGGTGTCCGCCTCATGTGTTAGCCACTCCAGCGCGAGCTTCGTTGGCAGCAGTGCCGTCACAGCGACAACGTCCTCGCTCCCGTCGGCACTAAAGTAGGCGTAGTGCGTGGGCCGTCGCAAGTGCGCGCGCACGCTGAGCTTCACATCAGAGCTCAACCACGGCGTGGAGCGATCAGGTTTAAGGCATAGCTGATGCTCCTGCACCGCGAGGCCGCGAATGAGACTTTGCTCAAGCACAACGTAGTGCGACTCGCCGCCCCCGCCGTCGGATTTCCTCTGGGCGAGAGCCATAGGCCCCCCAAACACATTTCGCACAGTAACGTCATCCAAGCCACGCGGCATGGGCGTGCTGCAGTCCGTGCCAAGGGGACGGAATCGCACAAGCGACATGTTGGACAGGCCTGATCCGCTGATTGGCAGCGTCCAATGCTGGCCCTGCTCCACCGTGACGTGGTCCGTGCGGTTCAACGAGAAGACAGCGTAGACGGCCTCCACCAGCTCAATGCGCAGACCGGTAAGCTCAAAGAACTGCAGCGTCGCCTCAGTTCCCTCCTCGGAAGACTGCTGCTCTGGGTAAATGGCACTAACGCAGAGCTTGAAGGAGCCTGTGTGGGCCAACAGTTCTGGCAGGATAATCGCAGAGCCGTTCACCGCGGTGATAAAGCGGTCGGAGCTGTTGATGTTGAGGAAATGATTCTTGGGCTTCTTGCACGACACCCGGTCCTCCGCGAGAAACATAAAGAGTGGGTTGCCCTGCGCAAAAGTATGAGCGATCAACGGTCCAACGAGCTGTAGACTCTCCCAACGCCCAAGCGTGGAGTGCCGCTTCTTGCGTGTGATGCGTTTCACTGTGCTGCTACCAATGCGGAACCCATCGGTGCGGGGAATTATGAGCCGGTAGGGAATGCCGGTTGGCATAAACCCCCTCCTCCACTCCGTGGCGTCTGCTGTGGCGGCATCCGCGTCTCGGTAGCGCACACACCATTGAAAGCTGTCAACGACGTTGTCCTTCGGTTCAAGTGCCCCAATGCGCGCCGTGTGTGCCTGTGTGAGCGAGAGGAACCAGGACGACATGGAGGTGAGAGGGTTTACATAGCGAACAGCGGCGGTGGTTGTGGCCGTGCTGCTGCTGCATCCCACGGTGTCGCCGTTGACGACCATCGATGGCACCCCTGAGGTGCGAACCGGGCTGCGCCAGAGAAAACTTGTCGCATTGCCACAGTCCACTGCGGGGACAAACGCCGCCTCACCCTCGTGCAGAGCGAAGCCCTCCACAACGAGGTCGACAACGGATGCGTACACAACAGCCACCGGCGTCCCCCCTCGCTGCGGGGGCGATGGTGTGCTGATTGACCGAATCGACTTGACGTAGGGCCGCTGCACAACAAACGTAAATCCGAGCGGGTACACCATGCGGCGCGTGCCTGGCGCGTAAAGACAGAGAAAGAGCGGCTCTCGCGCCGCGCCAAACACACGATCAGCCACCAATGCAGTGGTGTGTGTGGTATTAAGCGTGATGAAGAAATCGGTCGTGGCAGCCGCACTGCGTGTCGCATTCCACTGTCGATAGTTCGACGGCACATCAAAGGGACGCAGGATGGTGAAGTTCATACGACTAATGTGATCGACGACGTATGCGTCGCCTGCATCGTCACGTGTTCGCACCTCGTCCACCGGTGGGTGACACCGCCTCTCAGAGAGGAAGAGCAGCATGTCCTCACGCAGGCCGTGGCCAAGAAGTGGGAGCACCATGTCATTTACGTTTTCAGCCACCTCCACGCGCGTCAGGTGGGTGTCTGCTGCCGCTGTGGGAAAATGAGCCGCGTAGGGGCCAATGAACAGCACCTCAACAGGGTGGATGTCGACGGTGGCGGTGGTGGGAAAAAACACACGGTGATCGTTCTGAAAGGGCATAGGGACAGAGAGGCAGAGACGCATGCAACGCGTGGTTTCTTCATTCAAAAACCCGGGTGGAATCACCACTACAGACGCCCAGCTTTGCTGCCTATGCGTCCATGCCGCCACCTTGCTGCGTGGGGTAACGATACCAAGGGAACGCTGACGATAAAAGAGCGACGTGTTGGCGCACTGAAGCGCCGGGTCCGCCATCTTCGCGTTCCCTGGAGGCGACTGCGCAAAGGCAATCTCAGCCGCGTTAATTGTACTGGGGGACCACATGTGCACATTGAGGCCCCACAGTCGTATCAGTCCGCTGAATCCGACGCCAATATTCAGCTGCGGCAACGCAGCGGCGCTATCGTCAACGTCGTCGTTCACGTCCAGATCGTGACCTTCGTGCGTCGTCGCGGCAACGATGCGGGCCCGCGTTACGGTGATCTTCAACCCAGCAAGCGGCACAAACCGCGAGAAAAGTGTATAGGCGAAACAAAGGTGCCATGTTTGGTTTGCGTCGGTGGGTGTTGCACCCCACAGCCCGGTGTGGTTAAGGTTGAGTTGAACAAACGCCACACGAGTTTGGCCCACCACACCGCCGGTATCCAAGGCCTGCCGTGAAAAAGAGAGTGTGCTAACGGGGAGCATTGTGTCCAGCGCAGCTGGCACCCTGGCATCGGCCGGATTGTGCTCCGACGTTGGCTGCTGCCTCGCACACGACTCCAGTTTCCGCGAGAGGAGCAGCGCCATGCCCTCACGTAGGCCCTCGCCGTCGAGGACGATAACCGGCGATGAAAACTGAGGCACCACAAGCATCTTCGCAGAGGGCCCAAGTGATGCGAGATCAAAGACGCTGTTCGACGCCAGGCCCGAGGGTGGGAGCGCCCACATGCCGCGGAGAGAAACGTGGGGGAAAGTCACGTACACTCGCAGGCGGGGGACGAGGGTGTAGAGCCACATTGGCTGGCCGTCCGTGGAGAGCGAGGAAGACGCGTTGACCCCCGGTCCCCTCCCGTATCCCACATCGGAGTCAGACTCGGGCCCAGCGGCGGCAGCAGCAGGATAGAAATGGTCGTGCGGAGGCCGTGTACTCCGCCCCGATACGCCGATGTGCGACAGCTTCGGTGGAGGGACCTGCGTGGACGCCACGACGCAGACGAAAAATTCTGTGGGCAGTGCCTCTTCCTCCTCTGCGGTGACAGGGTCATGCAGCCGGTCGAGGTGAACGCCTCTGACGGGCGCAACGTCGGCGAGCTGATACATTACCACAGACCGCCCGGGCTCCGGTTCAACAACGGCGCAGCTCTCCCCGGCGAGGACGTAACGGCCGCTCGTGCAGTCAGGAGAAGACGAAAAGCGAAGGTGCGAAATCCACGCGCCTGTGCCAGAAAGGCGGCGGTGGAGGTCGAGCTGCAATGCGCCACTGGACCCGAGGCGAACGCCCACCACTTGGGAGACAAGCAAAGACTCGTTACCGCCGCCCACGACGCCACTGCGGTTGCCCCTTCCTTCCTCCGCCTCCTTCGTGAAAGGAGGTGACGACAGTGGAATGAATCCACGCAGGGCCACGTCCACCACCTCAAATGTGAGGTTGCCTGCCGGCACGTAATTCACACCATCGTCCGAAACACAAATGCGCCCCCGCATCGTCTCGCTGGGGTGGGTGACCGTCACCACACCCTGCATCACGGCAAATATATACTCTTGTTTTTTGTAGCCTCCGCCACACGGCGACACCATCGCAAGCTCGCTCCACCCTACCCTCGCAACGACCTCCGATAAATCTGGGGCAAACATGAGCAGCAGCCTGTCCGTCATCCCACCCGCGCCAGCCACGGCGTAGGTCCCCACAGTACCGGCAGCCACCACCAAATGCACCACCCCTGAAAGCGACGCAATGCGTGTTTCCAGCGGCCACATTTTTGCGCTCGTCAGCGCAGCAATAAGCGCGGGCGTGCTGGTCACCGGTAGATGAACTGCCCCCACCTGATACGCGCATGCGTACGCCCTGGCCGGTGTGCCACAGGGGAACGAATACCACGCACCCGCGGGGCCAACAGCGATACAGCCGCTATCGCGCATGGGTTGCCCCACAGCCCACAGGCTCTCTGCTAGCGACGGCTCCCACACCGTCATCCCATCAAGGTACAGCCCAGTCACCCCTCGCTCTGTATACGAAACACCCACCACCACACGCTCTAGCCCCGCTTTGATCACTAACTGCCCAGCGAAGGCACTTTCCTCGACAGACGTTATAGCCGCCGCGTGAATCGTGTTAGCCGCGGCGTCGTCGAACAACTGACCACAGTGCTGCTCCAAGTCAGCTGCGGCAACAGGATGATCCGTGAAGACGCGAAGGCAACGCTTCGTGGGCGAAAAATACGCCCATTCGTCCATGCACAACTCCTCCGGTGGTTGTGGTGCAGATGTGGTGGTGGTGATGGTGGCATCTGTGTCCGCCGGGGACGCGGAGGCGCTTTCCGGGGCGGTGGTTAGGGCTTCTGATGTGACGGCGCCGTCGTTGAGGTACGCGCACACAAACGGCAAGGATGCTCGGCAGTCCACCGCACTCCACGTACCGTCCGCAGCTACCGCCACGCACCCGAACGGGAGGCTTGGTTCCCCTTTACCCCATTTTGAATAGAGGTGGTTTGCCGCGGTGGGCCACGTCGGACTCGAAGGGAAACTGAGCGCACACTCTGTCTCCTCGTACCACAGGGAGTCCTCGTACCACACACCCACGGACCCACGTGAGATAAAGATGCCGCCAACAAAAACGCGAGGCTGCAACCACGCATCCGTGTGATTTGCTGTCCAGTCCCGCACCAGACGACCGAGGAAGGCATCCTCGCCCCCACTCAGAATGCCAGTCAGGGTAATACGGGGATGGATTGCCCCACAAAACTGTTGCGCCGCCTGCTGACTCATTCCCCCTTCTTCTCCGTTGATTGATGCCGTGTAGAGACGGTAACATTTCTCCGCATACGATGACCACCCAGTGAGACACCCTGGGGGCGGGTTTGGCACCGGCGGGCGGGTAGGCTGCGGTGAGCTGACAGGCTTGTCCCCCGCGGGAACCTCTGACGTCGTCGTCGTCGCATCCCCCCTCCCACTCTCGTTGCTGCCGCTGCCGCTGCCAGCGTTGCCATCCCCGGCGGCAGAGTAGGGGAAGGTGCACACAAAGGCCCTTCGCGGGGTTTTGCAGTCCACCAGATGCCAAAACCCATCGGACCGCATGGCAATGCACCCGCTGTGAGTTTGCCAGTCCACTGTGGGGGCAAAATGGGTGTACGACGGCGCCCCGTTCGCAGCGTTGACGCCATCCCACCAGACGATATCCCCCAACCTGGCGGCACCACCGAGTGCCACAAGCTCCCCCATCTCGCCAAAAAGCGGCTTCAGCAGGTCTCGCAGCCACACATTTTGCTCCTCGGAGTGTACAGAGACCGTCCGCGGAGTAAGGCCTCTGGTAGCACCATTCCATCCATCAGGCGGGTAAACATCAAAGATTCGGGCACAAACGTCAGCCGCCTCAGCTGCTGCCACTCGAGATGTCTGCGGTTGCACGCACCATGCCGTGGTGGCATCCAATGGATCGCCGCCATGCAGCTGAGACCGCGGCAACCACAACTTCCACCCAACGGGGCAGGGCGGGAAAACGGCGGCGGGGTCCCTCTGTGCGGCTGCAGCCACGCAAAAGCTTGCCGTCCATGCGGCCAACAGCAGCACTATTAGTTGCCGCGGCAGCATAGCCCGCAGCGGTGCCCCGGCTTGGGTACAGCGGCAGCAATGGCGCGTCAGTATTGACTTGGGGAGCGGCAAAAACGTCACACTTTTGCAGGCCATTGCAACAAAGTCTGGAGGTGGTGGTGGTGGTGGTGGTGGGGATACTACAATCCCTTCTCTCTCGTTTTCTTTTCGTTTATGCCCTTGTTTTACCTCACACCCCTGATAGGGCCACCACTTCCCCTTTTAAGTTCCTTTTCTATGTTTTTTTTTAAATATTTTTGGTTTTTTTCTGCCGTTTCTCTTAGATGCAAAAGCCGCGGGCACACACGCACAAGTGCTGCAGGCGGCTGGCCACTGCTGCCCACGTCACTTCCTCACCGCACTGCCACCACAAGACAAGGCTAGACGAGAGGGACAAATAATGAAAGTAGTAATAACCCCATGTACAGGCAATACGGAAAAGAACTAACACGTTGACAGACGTGTATGGGGGGGGGGGGGAGCGAGAAGTACACCCATGGAAGCATTGAGCCGACACCCTCCTCGTTCCCAGTCGCCGCCCTTCCCATTCACCCATCCACATCCGCCTTAGAATCCTGTTTTTTTTTATTTTACTCCTTACTTTTTTCTCTCTACTTTTTCTTTTGTTGGTGCGGTGGAAGGACGGAAGAGAGGAATACAAAAACAAGTTTATGCCGTTGGCTCCTCACACGTGCGATGGCACATGACCCACATACGAGAAGGGGGTGATGGCCAGCAGCTCGCCTCGCACATCCTCCGAGATGCCCGTAAGCCCACTGATGAACTCGCGCACCGTCTCCCGCGTCACCTCACGGTTGCCGCGCGTCAACTCCTTCAGCGCTTCATACGGCTTCGGGTAGCCCTCGCGACGAAGGATCGTCTGGATGCCCTCCGCCACCACTGCCCAGTTGGCCGACAGGTCCTTCTCGATGGTCTCGCGGTGCACCAGCAGCTTCCCAAGCCCGCGTCCGATGGAGGCGAAGGCGATGCAGGCATGACCGATTGGCACCCCCAAGTTTCGCAGCACAGTGCTATCTGTCAGGTCGCGCTGCAGGCGTGAGACAGGCAGTTTGGCGGCTAAGAACTTTAGCAGGGCGTTGCTCACAGAGAGATTGCCCTCCGCGTTTTCAAAGTCGATGGGGTTCACCTTGTGCGGCATCGCACTGCTGCCCACCTCCCCCTCCTTTACCTCCTGGTAAAAGAACCCCATCGAGATGTACTGCCAGACGTCGCGACAGAGGTCGATGAGGATCACGTGCAGCCGCGCACAGGCATCGCAGAGAGCGGCCAGGTTGTCGTAGTGTTCAATCTGCGTGGTGCACTGCTGACGCTTGAGGCCCAGGTACTTGGCGAGAAACATATCCCCGAAGCTGCGCCAGTTCACATTGGGGTACGCCACAAGGTGAGCATTGAAGTTGCCGGTCGCCCCACCGAACTTGCCGCTGGCGGGAACCTCCAACAACTGCCGACGCTGCTCCTTCAGCCGCTCAATCCACACCATAAACTCCTTCGCAAGGTTTGTCGGGGACGCCGGCTGGCCGTGTGTACGCGCAAGCATCGGCATGTCCCACTCGCTAAGCTTTCCCTCCAGCGTTTGCAGCAGGGTATCCAACGCGGGAACGTACGTAGCCAAGATGGCGTCACGCAGCATCATTGGAATCGCCGTGTTGTTGATGTCCTGCGACGTCAGGCCAAAGTGCACAAACTCCGAGACATGTGCGAGACCGCAGCTTTCCATCCGCTCCTTCAGGAAGTACTCCACTGCCTTGATGTCGTGGTTCGTCACCCGCTCCTTCTTTTTAATATCCTCGGCGTCCGCAACAGAGAAACGATTCACCGCAGTCTCGCGCAGCTGCAGCAGCTGCGCCTCCGTCACCCCCCGCAGCGGCGCAATCGCCGGCACCTCCTTACAGAGGGCAACAAAGTACTCCACCTCCACCCGTACACGGTACTTGAAGAAGGCGTACTCCGAGAAGTACGCGCGCAGCGGGGCGGTGTTCGACTTGTACCGCCCATCCACGGGGGAAAGTGCGAGCAGCGGGACGTCCCGCATGTAGTCCACAGCACCCTCCATTGATAAAACCCTGGCGCAAAAAGCAAGGATGCACTCAAACTAATGTATCTCTTTCTTGCACCTGCTTGTAACCCTCAATTCTTCCTTGCAAACAAACAACAGCAAGACCCGAGTGTAAGCCTAGGCTGAGGCAGGATACCTGCTTCTTCTACAAGGAAGGAAAGGCCGTCAAAGAAAAGAAGATGGACAGTTCCCCTCAGAGAATAGCACCCCAACAACCCCCCACGCAGGAAGTGATACATCCCCACCACCACCACACCACACACACCGTGATACTCAGGCATGTTTTTTTTGCGGACAAACAAATAGACCTGTTTTTTTGTGGTCTGCCATATCGCCGGGGGCCTCGCCAAGGGCGCCGGGCGGGGTCCTCACGCAAGAATACCGACAGCGTCCTCCACAAACACATCAGCCACGCTAAACTCACTCATGACACTGAGACGCTGCCGCCCTATCGCGGCGAAGTCTGGGGGCTCGCAGTGCGGTGTCGTTGAGCACAGGAGAAAGACGCTGTCGGGCACGTCGTCGAGCACGCCAACGTTCTCTAGCCTCTCCCACTTGCCACGACGCACCAAAACGGGCAGGGGGGCGCCGCACACTCCGCTTCCGCCGCTTCCGCATCCTCCCTCCGGTGCAAGACAGCGCTACATACGTCGCGAGGGA